AGTACGCTGTAATATGGATGTTCTGTACCAACCCATTGTCGTTTTTCCATCAGGGATAGTGCCAAGGGAAGGGTTTGTTTTTTTATGGAGACATCAATGGGTTTCCTGCTGGCATACAAAAGGCAGTTTGTTTTTACCGAGAAATTGATACTTTTCCAGTGGGGATTGTGCCCCCAAAACATGACCTTTTTCTTACCGTAACCAAGAGCTTTTTGTGCCTAAACCTAACCATGCATTAACTACATAATAGTTGCTGACATGTAAAGTTTCAACAAATCCTACATGATAATTTACAAATGTAATGTATCCATGGTTTGCAGAAAGGTAAAATACCAACACTTATTCTGGTGATTGGGTTATTCTTAAGCAGTGTTTTTCCTGCATCGAGAATATAGAGGTGACCACCTTCCTCAATTTCAATTGTGACCACTTCGGCCAAATTAATACTATCTGTCATATTTACATTGCATGAATTTTACATTGTATTAAATGTAAGACAGCCAGCTGAAATTCTAAAGTAAAATATCTCTAACATAGTGCAAGATTAAAAGACAACATTCTGTAGCAGGATGATATGCTAGCTAATTAGCATTGGTTATTAAAGTAAAATAAACAAGATAAATTTGTAGGGATGTTCTGAGCCAATCCTAAGGATCAGTTTCAGGGCTGATCTGGGCATATTTGATGGGTTGGTGTTGCAATCATAAAGATAATCAAAATCTTACCTTTCTCTACTGAACTCTACTGTGTAGTATTTATCTGGGAGAGGCTGTGGCTCAGGAGGTAGAGCAGGTTCAGTTTGCAGCTCCTCCAGTCCATGTGTCAAAGGATTGTTGGGGAAGATACTCCTCAAGAACCTCAAATTGTGCCAACAGTGTGTGAGTGTTTGTTAATACCCAATATGGTAGTCTCAGCCAGCAGTGTATGAATGTGTGTGTGAATGAATGAATGTAGCATGTAGAGTAAACGTGTTTTGAGTGGTAGGAAGACTAAAAAGGCACTATACAAATGCAAGTCCATTTACCATCTCAGCCTGCGAGTGTTGAAATGCTGCTCTCCTTAATCACATCTGAGCTCTGCTGTACACTGCGAGCATATTGTTCCATTATGCAAGTGAAAATTAAAGTGTGTGAATGTGAAAAACTTTTTGGTCGCACTGATGATATACTCTGTTCTGACTCACTGGGGCACACGTGTCTCCGTTTGAACTAGTAAAAGCCCTGTAGAGCCTCAATTCTGTGTTTTGTTTTTCCCTTCAGAGGCATCCCCCAGTCCTGTAAAGAGCTCCCCAGAAACGTCTCCCATGACCTCCCCGCGACAGCGCAGAGACTCGGACCGTTACTGCCAGCTATGCAACGCCTGGTTCAACAACCCAGGCATGGCTCAGCAACATTATGATGGCAAAAAGCACAAGAAGAACGCTGCCAGAGCGGACCTGCTGGAGCAGCTGGGAAAGACCCTGGACATGGGAGAGATGAAAGGTATGGAGCGCTGCTGTTGATATCAGTACATTTTCTATACACGGCTAATCAATACATTTTAAATCACAGTCATTTTTATTGTTTTGTTGATATAAGGCACATCCATGAATTTGGTGGAAAAGATACTTTTTTTCATGTAGTGTTAAGGCCCAGACACTACCAACTGACAACAAAGAACTAGTTGCACCAAAAAGCTGCAGTTAAACACACCACAAAGACTGCAGCCAACTGCCAACTGACACAAATGTTCTGCGCCTACATGACAGGAAATTACTCTTGATACACAACGCGATGTTAAGAACAAAGCATAAATTTACCATGTACTGGTATGAATTGTTATGAACAATAACACAAACAGTTATGAGCGTTTATGCTTAAAAGCTCGATGGCTAAAAAAATATTTATACCGAATATATATATGTATTGTTTCAATCTCATGTCCTCTTGACTTTAGTCATTTGTTTGTTTGCTTTCTTCACTTCTGTTACTCTTATCCTGCAGTGTTAATTTTGTTGATGAAAACTATGAAGAAAATTTTTTGTCAACAACCTTTTTCCATGACAAAACAAGACGATGACAAGCGAAAAACAGATCTTAATAGAAACTAAGATGAAACCTGTATTTCATTTTTGTTGATGAGATGAGATGTAACAAAAATGTTTGTGGTGGACTATCAGACACTGAACGCTAAGAACAGCTGTGCTTGCAATTATCTTCAAATGCCGCATGAGCGACAGGCTGGCAAACTCCATTAATAGCCTGTGCTGGGATGTTTCAATAGCCAGCAAAGACACTCACACCAGAGCAGTGTCAGCAGTTGGTGCGCGTTGTGAGGTGTAATTCAGCAGTAAATAATCAGCCATGTGTGTCTGACTGTGGACGGTGGAGCTGTTGAATGGTTTTGTGGAGTGTTTTACTTACAGCGTTAAGCTGTTAGCAGTTAGCTCCGCTTGTTAGCTGCTGAACGGCAGTGGAGCAAGCAGCCATCGGCCACGAGTCTTCACATCCGTTGATCTCTGCAGGACTCAACTCAGTCTGGACTGTCTTAGTAAGGTTCATGGGCTGATGCTGTTTGACAGGCAGGTAGGAGGTGTTAAGATGTTGAGCTTTTCAAATGACAATCAGTAAGTGTGTGAAATCACCCTCTAAACCTGTCAAAAACTGCTGCTTTGTCAGAGCCTAGAAATTATTTGTAATTGTAGATAAAAAAAGCACAGTCTAAATGAAATTCTTTATACAACCTGTCACCTTGATTCTAATTTCTGATACATGAATTAGTCTAACTGTCTTAGTTTAAAGCTTAAAAAAAACATATATATATATATAAAAAAAGATGATGACTAAAAGTTGACTAAAATATCATGAATTTTCATTGACTAAAATGTTTAGGATTTTTGTTGACTCAAACTATGAAGGATAGAAATGACTTAAAATGACTCTTTTATTCTTCTTATATTTTGTTCTCCTGAAAATTATCTGTCTTTTTAGCTGTTAAACGCTCCAGTTGGCCTACTGTATGTTCACCAGCGAATTGTTAACTTTATCTGTCTGCCTTTTGGTGCTGAGCTGTGCAGTGATTTTATTGGAGCTTTTTCTTTTAACTGAAATCAGCAGGAACTGTGGTTGATGAGAGCACTGAGACTGAACCAGAACAGTAAAGGTGGGGGTTGTAAAACCAAAACAATGAGCTGAAAGACAATAAAAATACTTTGTGGAGCTGAGGGGAGCTGGTGATAATTCTCTGTGGGTTTTGTACTTGACTCCACTGACATTGTGCATTCAAGTATTGCTGAAATAAAAAAAATATCAGAGCAGTTTTAATGACTGGTCACTGATGACTGCTGTCAGCTGTGAAATCGTTACAGTTTGCTATTCTACCACCTGGTCGCTGTCAGAAAACAGGTATGGTATTTAAAGGACGTTCAAGTAGTGATTCTTGTGATCACTTGTCAGACACTGCAGCCAATAAACAGTTATATGTAATGTTGATTAGTGGCAGAAAGAGCATCTTTACATTTGGAAAGAACTTTGATCATTTTAGTCCTCTACTGGCAGCCCTCTAGACTGGAGCTGTCAGCTTGGCTCCTTGTGGACTCCACTAGTGTGTCAAAAGCTGTTAATTTTGCAGAGGAGGAGGAGAGAACGCTCTTGCTTATCCTCTCCCAGTCACAATATGTCAATAACAATTATACAATATTATTCCAGCCGGTGGAGGGCCGACTGCCAGAAGAGCAGAGGAAGCCCAGAGGTGTTATAAAGGGAATAGGTGCGTGACCGCACCAAATGGGAGAAACAAGTCCTCACAGCTGATTGGACACGGAACCCTTACTCCAGGCTTGATTAGTTCTTTATGCTTGTAGGTGTGCTGTGGCTGGTTGAGGGCAAATTGAATGGTTGCAGTCAGTTCAGCTTTGTCATGCTGACTTGAGGTTTTGAGTATGTGATATCTATTTCAGGTACAGTACATTTGGCCCATGGCTGGGCAACATCATTAAACAACATGAAAAAGTCTCCATACTGTAGCTCCCTTTAGTGCAATTTATTGGCACATCCATGAGTGACGTTTCAAAACATCTTGACTTTCAAGTACAGATGTGGGGTTTGACAACTGGGGTTGTCAAGTGGGCTGTTTCAAAAGCAGAGCATTTTGCCTGCCTGATTTTGTAGACTTGCAGATTTTGTTGGTTATTTTTCCTTCATATGTGTGGTCAGTAAGTAATGTAATGGTTTCTTTTTTTGTCTCTTTTGACCATGACAAATTACAGCAATTTAAATACTAAATGTCAGAGACAAAGGCATTTCAAGGCAATTAATTGTGTTTATTGTTATTTCCTACTTTGCTGTGCTGTAGCCTACAAACAAACTTAATACTGTTAGAAGTCCAGTAATGAGCGACATGGATGAAGGATTTGTGGCTGTGTGTAGGTTATTTAAAATAAATTCATCTTCATAATTACAATGGATCTTCTGAAATGCACTGCAGCACATCTGCTGGGTATACAAGAATTGTCTAGAGGCCGTCTGGCAGAGATCTGCACTCTACTGAGTGCACTGTTTTAGTTTGTTAAGAGTTGAATACTCAAAATGCAGCTGATTATGAACTATGCGTAGTTTGATCACATGAGATTAACAGCATAAGGTCACAAACCTACAACTGTCATCAGATTTTGGTTATTATGTTGCATATTGCTAAATCCTGATTGGTTCACAGAAAAAAATGAAACACAGCAATAGATTGAGGGACAGATTTTGGTGTTCAAAGGTCAAAAAGGTCAAGGTCACTATGACCTTGTCCATTACAATATCTCAAAAATGCCTTAAAGGAATTTCTTCAAATTTGACACAAACTAATTGGACTCAAGGATGAAATGATTGGAATTTGGTGGTCAAAGTCACTGTGACCTTGCATCTCTCATTTTGTGAACAAGATATCTCAAGAATACCTTAAGGAAATTTCCTCAAACTTGACACAAACATCCAATTGGATGTCAAGATCACTGTTTCCTCACAAAACATGTTTTTGGCCGTTATTCAAGAGCTCATACACTAATTATGCCAGAATTTCACACAAATGTCTTATGGGATATAATGATGAAGTGAAGATATTTAATATCCAAAAGTTCAAAGGTCAATTTTACTACTTTTACTTATTATGCTCTGCAAAAACACTTTACTGGCCATTGCTCAGAAGAGGAGATATTTGGTCAGATACTGAATTGGTGACTCTGGTCTTGAAACTGCTGCTTGTATAGATCTTATGTGAAGTTATGAGAACTGTAACTGCAACTTGACGGGTTGGCGGAGGATACAACCCTGAGGTGATAATTCAGATTTTCTATAATATGTGAATTAATCAGGGAATATCCTGTTCCTATAGTTTCCTAAGTATTGATCTCAGTAAGGAGTAGACACAGTCAGTGGTGTTGCTGGAAACAAAATGGTTGTTCAAACACAGTAAATTAAAAACACTAAGCATTACTGGGATTTTATTGTAAAGTCATGAATGAGCACTTTGCTGCAGGATATGGTTCTACACCAAAGGCTCGTCCCCACTTCTCCTCTCTAACTTAAAGCCATTTCTGTCTTTGGCTTCACCTCTTTTGCACTATGCCTGTTTTGCACTGTGTGTTAGGAGGAGATGGATTCGCTAACATCAACACAGTCATTATGGAGAGGCTGAAAATGTCAGCATGCTCGCTGCACTATTCAGCACTTGGGCTAATGAGCGTTTCTCTCTCGTGATTATCAATTATTAATGAAGTGGCAAATCATCCTATCAGGCAAAACCAGCACTGTGCGCCTGTGGAGAGGGGAATGGGACCACAGCAGGCGTAGCGGGTGGCCACGCAGTCGAGACAGAGAGGGAAGGCAGGGGATGCTGCTGCCGCACCAGCTGCTGGAAAATACACCCTCCACCACTTCAACTCAGCTCTTTATTGTATTTCCTCTTTTCATTTTTCTCTGCGTCTTGTTTTTGCCGAGTTTGTCTGGTCTCTTTGCTCGTCTCCTGCTTGCCTTTCCCTCTCCCTGACCTCCAGCACCGTCCACTTCTCAACTTGCTTAGAAAATGTGCAGTCTGACTCCAAAGATGTGATGAAATATTCAACAGCTCCCATAAAGGAGAAGGTCTGCATATTGTTGTTGTGTATACACCACTGTGCAGCTGTGGGAAGTTGAGGGCAAATAAATGAGTGGGGGAAAAGATAGAGAAGGAGTAAAGGCATGGGCAGGCCATTAGCACTCCACTGTTCCTGTGTTTGAGGAAGACTCTTCAGGGGTCAAAGCTGCAGCCCAGTCAGCTCTTAGCCCCGACCACCACATGATATAAAAAAAAATAAATAAATAAACCTTTTAAAGGAGGTTTTTAAAAGTTTTATTGCTGTCTGTATATAGAGACAGGGTTTCAGTGCTATAGTATATTCACCACACTGTATGGGAAAATATCGCCTTACCTTTGCAGTACACTGTAAAATTGATGTAACTGCTCACCTGGTGACCTT